TTAATTAAATTGATTTACATAATTATTTATTACAAATTTGAGATTTAAATTTTAGTATATAATTTAACCTTTTTTCTCATTTTCAAACTACAGCCCTCTTTAAAAAAAAGAAAAAGAAAAACAGAATTAGTAATGATAAACATGAAAGTTTTAGTTTAAGGCTGAAATGAAACAATATATTTTAAAAAGTCTCATATTGTAAATAAAATGTACTCATTTATTCAGGGTTATCATTAATTTTCTAACTTCCTAGTAGGAGTACGATTGTTACCCATTTTGTTTTCTTTTTATGTAGGATGTATTTGTTGGTGGGACCGACACCAGTGCTGCAACCGTGATTTGGGCAATGACCTTCCTAATGAAGAATCCTAGGTCTATGAAAAAAGTTCAAGAGGAAATCAGAAATCTCAATGGAAACAAAGGTTTCGTAGATGAAGATGATATTCAAGGTTTGCCATATCTTAAAGCTGTGATAAAAGAAACATTCAGATTGCAACCAACGGCTCCATTATTAGTGCCACGAGAAACAATTAGGAAGTGCAATATAGCCGGGTATGAAATACCTGCCAAAACACTAGTTTTCGTGAATGCATGGGCAGTAGGAAGAGATCCTGAAGCTTGGGAAAACCCTGGAGAGTTCTATCCTGAGAGATTCATTGGCAGCTCCATCGACTTCAAGGGACATGACTTTGGGCTCATACCATTTGGTGCTGGAAGAAGGGGCTGTCCTGGAATACATATGGGAGTTGCAACTGTAGAGCTAGCCCTTGCCAATCTGCTTTGCAAATTTGATTGGGAAATGCCGGTTGGGACGGACAAGGATGACTTAGACTTTGATGTGATACCTGGTCTTGCTATGCACAAAAAAAATGCTCTTTTCCTTGTAGCTAGGAAGTTTAATGTTTGATTCGATCCATGTAAGGTTAAATTAGTTTGCTGCTTGCTATGGTTTGGAGTGTTTCAATTACATTTTGTGTTTTGAGTGTATTTTATGATAAAATCAATGTCCACATGTGTTGGTTATGAAGAGTTATGGTCTCATAGACTTGATTTTGTGGAAGTTATAACAGAATTTTGAAGTAGTTAAACCACAACCAAAAAAATACAAATTGAGATTAGATTTATTAATAAAAACCAAATTTAACCAACTGAAATATTTAAAACAAAATTCTATCCATTTATTAGGAGTTAAATTTTGTGACTATGATTAAGTCAAGTAAAAATTCCATTGTAACTTCCACCAAACTGAATCCATGGGATAAAAACTCTTGAAATGATAATTTTTTTTTTTTACATAATTTGTGAGCGTGTTTAAAAATTCAATTGAATTTATTTAGATTCTAATTGCATCGGACTATTTATATGGATATTTAGATTTAAAAGATCCGTAATTTAATTTATTTGAGCTTGAAAATCCGAAAGCCAATGTATCGCCCAACATTCGAGGACCCAAGTTTTTATATTAATTAAGTTTTATTCATTTAATTTTAAAAAGTAAATAAAAGGACGAAAATCGAAATAAAAAATTGGTGGCAGTGATGTGATGCTGCCGTGAATGGCACCATCCGAAGAGAGCGGCTGGGCTGTCGATTTCATGCTGCCAGCCTCCCCCTGCAGCTTCACTCTTCCCTCCCGTGATCACCTTGTTCAGGGTAATGGTAGCTAATCCACCGTACTAAGCAACCAAAGTAGAGCTTAACAGGAAAATCAAAATTTTTAATTAAAGTGCAAGTTTGAAAACCAAGAACGCAGAAGATAGGATAGCAAAAATTATGTAATTTAAGAAATTCAAATAAAAGATCAAATATTTAAATTTGAAAATTTAAAATTTTTAAAATTATGAAACTCACCAAAACATAGTGGAATAAAAGACATAAGCTTTTTAAATTATTACTATAATTTTTCCATTAAATTTAATTTGTGTTTTAATATTTTATATTCAAAATTATATGCATATTTTTTTTATCAAAATTATATCCAATTAAATATATAATAATAAAATATATTTCCTAGCAAAAAAAAACTTTTTTTAAAAAATAATTACATTAATTACATGAATCTTAATTATATATTTGAATATTTATGGCTTATGGAGCTGAGGTTTGTACTTATTTGTGTATTATCATTTTGTGATTTGATTGATAGATTATATGCATTCACTTTGATACAAATGATAAAATCCAATCTTGGGGTGTGAGTGAATTGTTATAATCAAAAGATAGTGGAATTGAACATGCTAATTAATTAGAAACTGAATGAGTGTATGATAAAATCCAATCTTGGGGGGTGAGTGAATTGTTATAATCAAAACGATAGTGGAATTGAAAATGATAATTAATTAGAAACTGATTGAGTCCATCTGTTTTATGCAGCATCTACCAACTATGGTTGTCTTGAGAGGTCATTTGATCTGTTAGGCAATAGTTGTGGTAGTAAAATCCTGAAACTGAACTTCACTTCTATCATCCAGACTAGTATAACTAACTGTCCTTCATCTTTCTAAAGGGTAAAAAATCCAGACACTTGTTTTTTATTTTTATTAAGTTGTTGTTATGATTTATTTTACAGGTAATGCTTGGAATCCTATGAAGCATGGACACGGACATGTTTACGATATAATATGTATAATGGTGACATCATGAACAATTTGTGAAAATAAGGATATGGATATGGCAAGATAGATAATAAAAAAGAGTATTTTTTATATATTATAATCATATGTTAAAAATATATAATAGATATCGGTTGATTTTTAAAAGGTCAATTACCCTTACAAAGAAAATTTGAATGTAAATACAGCACTAAAAAACATAGGATGTCCTTATCCGTACAAGAATTGTCTTTTTTTTTTTTTTTCATCGAATCCGATCAAGTTCGATATGTAATGTTTTCCGACAGGTCCAGCTGGTACGTATGTCGTAAGCATTAAAGTGTTAACAATGTAACACAAATACGCAAGAGGTTCAAACGTATCCTTACTTCATAATTGGAATCTAAACCATCCATGACAAAGTTTGACCTTGTATATTTAGAAGTTTTTGAGTGCTTCGCTTCTTTCCTGCCAATTAATTTTATGTTCTGTTAATAGAAGCGATAAGTTTCGCTTTACAGGCATTCGGTTTATAAAAATGATATGTTTCGGTTCACAGGCATTTGGATAGGTTGCATTATTTGTGGAGACAACATAACTTTCCAGTATTTAAATATTTATGGTTTCTTTTTGTTTCAAGTTCTGGTAACCCAGTTCTTGTACTGAAACAGAATGTGAGCAGGGAAAATAAAGAGAATGAAAATTACTAACAGAAAACAAAAGTTCTGACGCAATGGAAAAATTCTAAGCTTGTAAGGGATGGTTTTCCTCCATTATTGAGCATGATACATGCTAGAATTGTGATCCACTGTAGCCAGTTGACAAATACTGATATCCCGCCTTAAGATTTGCAGTTGTTTGAACATAGCAATAATTATGAGTCGCATAAAAAATTCAAGCTACAAAAATTGCCTAAAATAAGCTGTGATGTTTTTTGCATTCATTTTGAAGGAAGTACAATGCAAGGTTTGCATAATTTATGAGACAATATTTGGAGTCGCATGCTGATTCAGTTTAGACTCCTTAAAGAAACACAGGCCTTTTTCTCAGGCTCGTTTCACATGAAGAAGTTGATCTGAAATTCTGCAGAATAAATTGAGCATAGTTATTTATAAGCTTCTGCAGAATAAATGGATGCTTGAGTTGTGTTCTTTTATGTCAAGACATAGGACATCCCCTGATTTGATGATTGAAATGAGCTCCTCAAACCAATACTTGTGCTTAGCAGCTGGAACACTTTTGCCTCGATCAACGTAGATGTTTCTTTACGCCGACCCAGAATGCTTATAAAGATCAAAGAAGCATATAAAATGTTTAGTGCCTACTATAAATAGTTAAAATTCATACATAAAGGCAAACAGTTCTCAAAGCAAGTATAAAAGAAAACCACATGAAGCTCTGTTGCTTTACATTGTTATCATATAACCTCAGGTTCGTCAAAAGCTCAATCCAGGCAAAGATTTTCATTTGTGGCTCCAACAAACTGAAAGAAACTATCATCGGAAAAAACAAAGACTTTTGATCAATGTTTTATGGATCGGATATGTTATGTCATCAATATGAAGAATTGTGCTAGAGTGGAATGAAACTTCTAAACATTATTGCACAACAGAATGATATTACAAAGAATTTTAACACTGTTACATTTCGAATATCAATTTTGCATTTGTAGAAGGCCCTAGCTCAGCCAAATTTACCTGCTTGATGCAGTTCTTACCCTATCTTATCATTTATGTTTGCACTGCTGACACAGAAAAGATTTCTGTTGTAGGAAAGGAGCTGCTGCCCTAAGAACTTCGAAACCACCAATGAATTGAAGTTATTTCGTCATGTCAGACAAGTTCCACAACATCAGATTTTTGTTTTGAAGCATTTGGAATAAAAATGGCAGTACCAAAAAGGGGAGAAAAAAAAAGGAGAGAAAGGAATCCTAACAAGGCTGGAAATTTTCATTATGCTAAGTATTATGATTTCTTATAATATATGGTTTCTGATCATAAACAAGGAACCTATATACTCAAAGAGTATGATATATGGGCTATGGATGGTGGAACACGATTCACGGGTATGGAATGTCCAAGGCACTTATTGCCGGTTCTGGAAGAACACCTTATTCAGTTTAAAAGACAAAATTATGGTAAATTAAACATAAAATATAAAAGATTTTCCTTCACTATAAAAGAAGAACCTTTCAAAATGATTTCAGAACCGTGGAAATAACTAATTTTTTTGGCAGTCTGTGTATAGTTGTAACATTACCACTTTCATAGGAAACAATGTTTCCCTTGGGGGAATTTTGGCGCCACTGACACTGTCCTCACTCCCAAGTCGGGCAATAAATCTTTAATATCTCATCATTTAAAAGAAATTGAGTTCTCAATGGGTTTGACGCAGAGATTTTGGTATTGACTCATTCAGGCTGCCATAGGGTCAATTTGACAGCAGTGAAGGCAATGCATGCTTCAGCTAAGTAAACAGCATTCTTCTTTTTCAGGTCTTTCCATCCGCTTTTGCAAACCACTTTGTGTGCTCCTAAGAAGGCACTACTCACTAGTCTCTGCGAGTCACTGAAACCAGAATTAGATATCAAATAAATCTTCAAGCATATAAGAAGATAACAAACATTTAATAATTGAAACTATTCTTGAATGATTATGCCAAAAAAAAAATCAGAAGTCAATGAAACAAAATGATTAATAGATATAAACATTTAACATATCTGTTCTGTTCTTGAAATTGTCCTATAGGGAATTTTTACCAGAAGACTGAAAGAAATATGTTTCATAGACTACAAAAAAGAATTTTCTAAAGTTTTCTAACTTTTAGTAAACAATCCAATGCCATAGTTACTCAGTCTTTTCTGTGACCAATCACAGGTATGGCAGAAGGAAGTACACATAAAGAAAAGCCAAAGACATGAGGATATCATGAATGAGTCATTAACATAAGAAAAAAAAATATATAGAAATAAACTATAAGACCTACTCATTCTGAAACTATTCCTAAATTTTCTTTTAAAATGGTAGCAAAACATTGAATCCATGTATCAAACCTGGAGAGAACCATCTGCAAGTTCCAATAACTTCTAAATTAAATCATTATACTCCATGACGGAAGGAAGAACTTCTTTCTCAATTCTGCAAATATAGATTACACTACAATCAAAAGTTTTGCATAAAAGAGATTCACTCGTTTCTAACAAATGGGCTTCAAAAATACCTGTCCCCAATTTAATAACCAGGATTTTATCAATGCTTAAACTTAAAAGGTTAAAGTCTGAATTTGATTCCTTTACTACCTCAATCCTATCGGTTTAGTCCAACTTCAATTTTAATGAATTTAGTCCATGTAGTTTTATTAAACATAGATTTTTTATACATATTTCATTTCATTGTAAAACAAAAAGCTATGTGTGTAATGGATTGAACTAGTGAACATTCTATTATGAAATAAAAAAAATAATAATCAAGAATATAAATCACTTGAGCACTTGATTTAATAGTACGTTCATGTTCTTCAAATAAGTAGCATATAATTGCAAAGTTGACATACACCTGATTTCTGGGCGTTTCTTCCGGTAACAAATTAGCAATTAGAATGCAAGGAATGTGGGCTATTTTGGGCCACTCTTGTCCTTCATCCTCCTTGCATCGTTCTCTTAGCAGTGGACAGTCAACAATATCTAGTTGCAAAAGTGAGTCAAACATCTCCTTTTCCGGAAGGAATTTGATCACGGGGCAGCTTCGGATTTCCAATGATTCAAGAAATTTGAGATTTTGAAAGCCTTTGGAGGATAGAGTTTCCAGGTTTGGAAAACCGAAGATTGTGAGGGAGGTGAGAGTGCGGGGCAGAAGCATTTCCTCACATGGGAAAGACACCACATCTAGAGAAGCACCGTTGATGGACAAATGTTTAAGGGAGGTGAGTTTGTGCAAACCCCACTCGATCACTGACTTGCAAATATTGGGTTGCAAGATTGTAAGTGAAGTGAGATTGGGAGGGAACCCCTCTTCCGGAAATGATATCACACTTGGACAATCAAATATGAGCAATTCTCGCATAGAGACGATGTTGTGGATGCATTTAGGTAAGGCATGGAGTTTTTCACACCGAGAAAGGCTAAGATATCTGAGCTTGTTTAATTCACGAGGCAAAGATCTCAAATTATCACAACCGCAGATAACCATCGATTCAAGGGAAGAGTTCTCTTCAATTTCTTGAGCTATGGACTCTAGTGCTCTGCATCTTCTTATATCGAGGTATTTAAGCCCCATAGGTAACTTGCCATTGGATGACAAGGATGCCAACTTTTCACAACCATAAATGTCAACATGTTGAAGCCTAATAGGTAACTCGCCCCTTGAGGATAAAGATATCAGAGACTTATAATTTTCAATCACCAAGTGCTCTAGAAGAGGCGTGCTGTTGATGTTGTTATTTACTCCATCCAGCAAGTACTGCAAATTCTCACACTCCTTAATGGTTAAACGTCTTACGTTTGGAGGCAAGTTTCCATTTGAAATTGAAATCAATCTTGGGCATCCCTCAATTCCTAGCACCGTAAGGGATCTGTAGCTGTGTAGGCTTTCTGCTAACCTTTCTAGCCTTTCACAACAGTGTATGCTCAAATGTTCAATATGGCAAGGGATTCCTAACTGCATATGCTCTTCCTTTCCGTCCTCTGCCCCTATGGAAACAAGTCTTGAGCAATTATGAATTTCCAAAAAGCGAGTAGGCCTCAAATGTGTTGAGGGTCCTTCCTGGTTCCGCCATGAGGAAATTAGCTCCTCACATCCACATATATAAAAAGACGTTCAGCTTTTATCAACCCTAACATCATCCCCTCCATTGGAGAAGTGAATTTTGAAATGTCTGAAAGAGAGACTCTTTCAATGAATGAGCCAGAATTTGCACAACTTGTAGACGACACCTCTTGGCACCCATTAATTTCCAAGTCAGACAACTTTGGAAGGCTTGAGAGTGAAACTACCAACTTCTCACATTCTTGAATCACAAGTCTCTCCAATGAAGGAAGACAACTAGGTAGACTTCTCAGCTGTTGACACAAATTAATCTTCAGCTTCTTCAAGGAAGGAAGACGATTAGGTAAACTTCCTAACAACTTGGGGCAATTTGAAATGATGAGCTCATGAAGGTGTTGGAAACTCCTTACATTTTCATCAACTTCACAGGGATCCCATTCCTCCCATTCTGGCATGTCCTGAAAACGTAATCTCTCTAGTGACGGAAATGCATTAATCGATAGATCCTTTCCAAAAATATTAGCACCCACTTTTTTAACCTTACTCATCCTCCGGATAGAAAGCGATTTTAGCGACGTTAATCTTCCAACAGCTGGTAATAATGTGCAATTTGGACAGTAATACAGATCCAGAATCGATAGCTTTCCAAATGAAGGATCTCCGAACCAATTTGGGAATGTTTCACCTCCATAACATTCGATGGTAAGCCTTTCAAGCATTTTAGGAGGTTGGAGTGAATCCAAGATGTCCTTGTGAATTTCTTCTCCGGCGAAATTATAACTCCACTCTAAAGCTAAATCACGAAGGTTCGACTTATAACATAACCCAGCCACCCATGCATCTTGAGCTTTGACAACATTCTGCAATTCTGAAATAACAAGTCCACCCTTAAGATTAGACAAATTCTCCATCTCCCTTATCTTACGGCCATTGTCTTGACTGACAACAAAATTTGTCAATGTTTGGAAATTGGTTAGTTCACCGATTCCCATTGGCATCATTTTTATTGAATCTGCACCTCTAATGTCAAGATGCCTTAGGTTAATTAAAAATCTCATTTCAGAAGGAAACTCTTCAAGACGAGAACACCCCCGCAACAGCAAGGTCTCTAAATTGTAAAGCTTGCATATTGAATCCGGTAGAGTTTTGATTATAGTGCCAGAAAAATTTAGATAACGCAGATGCACCAAATCTCCAATAATATTGGGAAACTCCGTCAGGTAGCACCCTTGTAAAGAAAACACCCTTAAGTATTTAAATTCTGGCAACAACTCACTGAGAACTTGATTAGAGATATACCTCCACCCTTCGGGCATCTTCAACGGTAGGAAGGTTCTTAAACCCTTCTTTCCGTAAAAGACTTGGAACATTTTAATTCTGTCTTTCCTACCACCAATGTAAGATGAATGGCGAGCATGACTGGAAACGTTCAATGCCTTGTCACCCTCCACTCTGAAGCATATATCTTTGGCAACTGAATGAGCCAAATCATTAATCAGATCATGCATTATATATCGAGAATCATCCTTGTTGGATATTTCAAAAAATGACCTTTGTACAAGTTCTTGAAAGTACTCATGACCCAAATCTTCACTTTGCTTTGTAGCTTCCACTCGCAGAAAGCCTTCTGCCATCCATAACAAGACTATTTCTTCCTCGGTAAATTCATAGTCTTTGGGGAGTAAGGCACAGTAAGCAAAACATCGCTTTAGATCTGCAGGAAGATGATGATAGCTTAATCGTAAAGCTTGAAATATGTTACTCCTCTCTTCTGGTAAATTCCAAATCTCACTTTTTAGTATCTCTTTCCATTTACCAATGTCCACCTTATTGCGCAAAAGGCCTCCAATGGTCTTAGCTGCCAAGGGCAAACCCTTGCACCTTTTCGCAATCTGTACAACAAATTCTCCCAAGTTTGGATGCCCACTAAAATCTTTTGCTCCTAATGCATGTTGAGTTAATATAGAAATGCAATCATCATCTGACAACGTTGGCAGCTTGTAATCTGGGATAGTACCCACCATTGATGAAACAGTTTTATCACGTGTTGTCACAACAATCGTAGTTCCTACGCCAAAAGGGGATATTAGACGACTCCAATCATCATAGTTTTGAAGCCAAAAATCATCCAAAATCAGAAGTAGTTTTTTCTCCACCAGCTTCTTCTCCAATTCTGTTTGAAGCTTATTCAAATCATCTCCAGCATTAGAAGATTCAGAACTAACTGATCGCAAAATTGATTTCGTTATCTCCTCCATCTTAAAGTCTTCAGAAACACAGACCCATGCTTTAAGATCAAAATGATTATCTACACGACTATCATTGTAGACAAGCTGAGCAAGCGTTGTTTTGCCAATCCCTCCCATGCCAACGATGGGAATCACAGAAGCTCCAAAAATATTGCTATTATCACTCCCAAAAATCAATTCAAGGATTGCTTCCTAGTCTTTTTCCCGACCGCAGATTTGAGTTTCATTCACCAAGCAAGTGGTTGATCGCCATTCCAATGCTCTTTTTCGCCTCCCACCACCACTTTTAGTCAAAGCCAAGACACCTTTTTGTGCTTCTAAATTTTGAAATCTAGCAGTGATTTCTTTTATCTTGGACATCATTTCCTTATTAAATGATAAATGACTGCTGAACCTGGTAACGCAAGTATGAACGAGCTTTTGTACCTTACGGGCGCTGTGATCTTGATGTTCCCTCTTTAACTTGAGTCGCAAAGCTTCTGTAGCAAACTCATCCAATATGTCATCCGCATCGTATGCCAAGTCTTGAAGCTGGACCAACCAACTTTTCACATGCCGGTCCTTCTCTGCATCATCTAGCACTGCATGAATATTGTGCAAAGTCTTTTCCCACTTCTTGAGTTCCTCGCAAACTTCCTTCTCAGTTACAAAGTTGAGAAACTCAGAAGAGGCCAACTTACTAAACAACCCTTCAAAGAACACAGATAAAGCAGCTTCAACGACGGACATGGCTTTTGACCTGCAAAAACACAGAGATTATGTGTATAAACTTGAAACAGATGAGGGAAAAAAAGGTGGTGCATCCAAAAAGAAAGAGATGCTCAATCAGTAATTTATGAAGGGCAATGGGTAGTAGGCTTTACTCTACGCCATTCTTATCAGATGAACTAATTTTACTATCTAACCATATATAACTTCTTTCAAAGGCCTTATCTTTATTAACCAATCCCACAATTAACCTTTCAAGCAAACCTTTGCTTCAACAATTCCACTTACTCTCGTCTCTTAATCTATTATCCAACCAATGAGTAACTAAAGATGACCAAGAAACAATCAAGAAAAATTTTCAATTCTAATTCCTGATCTTTTGCCTTTACTAGTAAAACAGCAGTACATTACCCTATGCCTTTGAAAATAACTCTAAATCCATCAGTAGAGAGTTGTGATCCAAATAATAAATGCAATTATCATATGAGATACAACCAATTGAAAGAAAGGATTTAAGCACATATCAATAGTTGCCCCTTCACTCAAAGAACTTATAGAACAATGGAAATATGCTTTGATATAGATTAAATTTCCATTATGAAATTTGAGGATGTGGATTGTCATCTCAAACATTCAATTTGTAGAAACATTACATATTTTTTAAAGTTTGCATTTTAATGTTATAGGCAATAAATCTTGAGTTCTCTTAATTTTGTTTGTAATTGTTCAAATATAAATTCCCGCATAACTTATTTCCCAAATGAATTCTAAGCCTAAAGCCTCCAAATTTTCATTCAACACACCTCAAGCAATTCTCTTGTCTCTCTTTGACAAACTCAATTCTAAACCTTCTCCAAAATTTTTCTTTAAATCTAGAGGAAATCTCATCATCTCTCCGATTTCGAACGTCCAAAACAACTCCCTTATCCATCCATAACCACCGAAGTAGCCTAAAACCTCACTCAAAGCTTCCAACTTATTACAAACCTCTATCTAACTTTTCACGAAAACCCGGAAGAACCTAAATCCACATCACTTGCCACTTCACTAGGCATATCATCCAAACCACGTCATCTCAACCATATCATCTTTCCAAATCCAACCAAAACTCTATCTAAAAGTTCAAAGTCCAACCAAGACTCTGTCCAAAAAGTCCAATCAAATCAAAACTCTACTCAAAGAGTTTAAGTCCAACCAAAACTTAACCTTAAAAGTTATTGTTTCACCAAAGTGCTCTAAAAGAGTGCCAACACCCAAATTTTGTTTGAAGAGTTCTTGCCAATCTAAAATTCTTTCAAAGGGCTTGATCTAGCTAAAGCTTGGTCTTAACCCGAAAAGTTCTAATCAAGATAAAACACAGCTACACTAAACCCAACTCACAAGCTCAGACATATAGTTGTCTTATTGGATCTTGTATCACGACAATCTGCTCAGGTATAATTCCTAAAATCTTTAGACATCTTAGACTTCTCATTAAATTATGTGCAAGTGACATATCCTCCATGATCAAATATCATGTACTCTTAGGAATGCATAATGCATACCATTTAGTTATAATTAGGATTTTTTTTTTGGGTTATAGGCGGTGAAAATTTTTACAATGTAAACTCATGTCTAGCATGTGATGTAAAATCTTGTCATATAGATTAGGCATAAAACGGAATGTTCTAAATATGCCCTCGAGGCATATTCTTGTACTATCATCTAAGTATGTCATTTATACTAGATCACATTACATGTTTCTTTAGTTAGTCTTTATTGTCTTTGTAATATAATGGGATGAACTACTTAATTTAATACAATTGTTCGATAACACATTGTTTGCATTATTTAATGATTGATAAAGAACTCAAGGTTGTCAACCCATAGGTATTTTTCTAGATGCATGCATTAGATGTATGCATGACTGCACGAAACATATAACTTCTTTATACAAATTGCTTGTCATCAAGAATAAAAAGGAAAGGCATGCTCTTTAATCCATAAGCAAGTCAGGATGTTGGTTTGAAATGGATAAGTAAATGCTAGGTTTATCCCTAACAAGGTTTAGAGCTTTAATTCTTCTAATATCTTGTTTACTATTTTCGAACTAAGCTTTTTGATAAATACGACTGGGATATTGAAATTAGTATCGATTCCTGAAATATAAATAAATCGATTAATGACTCATAATCAATCTTAGTTTTCAACACTAAGAAGAGTACTAGAGGTGAAACCCACTAGAGGTGAAACCCACATCACTCACACCTTTGTTTAAAGGAGCATTAAAAAATAAAATAAAATAAATAAAATTTTAAAATTCTTCAGACAAACCAAACCTCAATGTAATAATTGTCTATATGTCTTCACACAATTTCTATTTCATAAAAAATATACAATGATAGACATTTGTAAACACACCATTTAATCCAAAGATGAAATTTTAAGAAATTCAAAAGTGTACAATTTTCTAAAAAATTTCTAAATGAGAATTTTTCTAAATTTCATTGAAATGTTGGAGAATTTAGAAAATTATTTCAATATTACGAATTTTCATTTATTTCTATAAATAAAAATGAAAAAAATTAATTTGATAGAAAAGTAATCAACAAAAGAATTTTCATTTATTTCTAAAAATAAAAATGAAAAAAATTAAATTGATAGAAAATTAATTGTTAAAATAAAAAAGGGATAAAAGAGTTGAGAATGTAATTGATAATTGTATATGCATTTTATCACATAATGCTTAATAAATTTTGAAATAAGTGGGGAATTTGACTAATGAAACTTTTAAAAAATTTGTAAGTGTGAAATTTTCTTAAAATTTTCTATGTGAGTAAACAATTTAAAAAATTAGAATGTCAAAGATTTTCATTTTATTTCCAAAATAACAGAATTAAAGGAAAATATTAAAATTAATTTAAAATGTTTTAAAAATAAAAATGAATTATTTTCATAAAATATTTAATTAATCTAATGAGGAAACCTCTTGAAAGAAACAGAAGTATTTTCTTGAAAACTATTGAAGGGAAAAAATTACTTTTTCTAATTACTTTTTAATGATTCCATGATACAGTTTTTGTTGCTGCTAAGTCTAAAAAAGCATTAATCTCTACAGACACAACTATACCATCAGTTCAAGGTGCAGCATAGTTGATTTAACTATTACAAAATTTGTATTTTTCTCTTGAAACTTTGTTGCATGGTCATTTTAGTTTGAAGGATTGGTTTATTTCCCTCTTGAAGCATTTGAATCCATTTATTTTTATGAATTTATTTACGAGCTGAAAATATGATTTGAAATGGTTTATCTTATAAACTTCATGGAATCAAATAATCTTTATCTTTTTCCAATATAATCAAACGTGAACTTGATTGAAGATCTATCTCTTAGCCTTTTGTATATTCTCCTTCTTTCAAATTATATGGCACTGCATTTCAAGTCTAGCAATTTCATAATGAAATATGCAAAATGGAATAACTGTGATTATGAAAGGCATTTTCATGAAATGCACTCAGAGAGGGAATGTACATCATTTTGCCTTGTGCATTTATCTTGATCATTGGCCAAAAAATATATCTTAGTTTGTTGCTTTGGTTAAATCTATTTCTTTGTTATTTCTGCATGTATGTAACAATGAGATCTTATATATCTTCTTTGATTTTATCTTGCATTACAAATTTTATGGTACTTTTTATAGCTTACCTAGTGACATTTTTCAATTAGGATGAAATATAGAGTTGTGGAAAAGATAAATGAAATATAATGTGATACATTTCTAACAGCACATTTTGAGGTTCTTGGAAAACTATTCTCTTTAGCAATAAAAGCCAAGATGAGGAATGGCGTTGTAAAGCTCTACTCAAAGCAAGTACAATTCCTTCCATGGAGTCTGTTGATGGGCAAAAGGAAAACAAATGCAAAGTGAAATGTTATTGTATGTATTAAACTTTGTGTTACATGTATATTGGAACAAATTATGTATTTAGATATTTAAATATTTATAATATTCAGTTCATGAATTTAAATTCATTTTTATTTCTTTTAACAATTTTTATTTAATTATAACAAATATTAAAAGAAAATTAAAAAAAAAGTAAAAGTTTTGATTTAGCGGCATTTATATTTAAAAATGCCACTAAATGTTGAATTTAGTAATATTTGTATTAGAAAATGCCATTAAATTTAGTGATGTTTTTATTACAAATGTCGTTATTTTTAGCATTTAACGATATTTTTAAACACAAATGTTGCTAAATTAGCAACATTTTTTTCGCTACAAATGCTACCAAATTAATGATGTTTTTTATGATAAAAACGTCATTAAATTACTGGCATCTCAAATATACAAATATCGCTAAAATAGTGACGTTTTTTAGATATAAACGTTGCTAATATAGCGGTATTTTATAAAAAACACTAATATTTTTCGCGACGTGTGTATAGCCAGCACTCTGACTAGCGTTTTTCGTAAACATTGCAAATCTTTTAGTGGTGTTTATAAACGTTGTTAAAAATTTAAAAAAAAAACGTCACTAAAAACTTAAACCCTTGTAGTGTCAATCTCCTTTAGTCATATGAAGTATTCTCAATTCAAATAAACACATACCCATATGCGTCTTTTCAACACAACCAAATACATACCCATATGCACCCACACATCATACCCTATTGTTTGAACGTAGCAATAACTATGGGTTGCATAAAAAATTTAAGCTCCAAAAATTAAATAAGCTCTGATGTTTTTTGCGTTCATATTGAAGGAAGTATTATGCAGGGTTTGCATAATATATTAGACAGTTATTGGAGTAGCATACTGATTCAATTTAGACTCCTTTGGAAACAGGCCTTTTTCGCAAGCTCCTTTCACATGAAATTGAGCTGAAATTCTGCAGAATAAATTGAGAATAGTTATTATAAGCTTCTTGTGTTCTTTTTTGTCAAGACAGGACATACCCCTGATTTGATGATTGAAATGAGCTCCTCAAACCAATACTTGAGCTCAGCAGCTGAAGCACTTTGTCTCCATCAACGTAGATGTTTCTTTATGCCGAGCCAGAATGCTTATAAAGATCTAAGAAGCATATCAAAATGTTTAGTCACTATTATAAATAGTTAAAACTTCATACATAAAGGCAAACAGTTTTCAAAGCAAGTATAAAAGAAAACCACATGAAGCTGTGTTGCTTTACATTGTTTATCATACAACCTCAGATTCTTCAAAAGCTCAATCCAGGCAAAGATTTTAACTTGTAGCTCCACCAATCTGAAAGAAACGATCATCGAAAAAACAAAGGCTGCTGATCAATGCTTTAAGGAAAGGATATTTTATGCATCAATATGAAGAATTGAGCTACAGTGGAATGAAACTTCCAAACATTATTGCACAACAGAACAATATTACAAAGAATTTTAACTTTTACATTTAGAATATCAATTTGGCCTTTACAGAAGGTCTCAGCTCAGCCAATTTTACCTCCTTGATAAAGTTCTTACGCTATCTCATCATTTATGCTTGCACCCCTGACACGGAGGAGGAAAGATTTCTGTTGTAGGAAAGGAGCTGCTGCCCTAACAACTTCGAAACCACCAATGGATTGAAGTTATTTCGTCCTGTCAGACTAGTTGCACAACAACAGATTTTTGTTTAGAAGCATTTGGGATAAAAATGGAAGTACCAAAAAAGGGGAGAAAAAAAAAAAGCGAAAGGAATCCTAGCAAGGCTGGAAGTTTTCATTATGCTAAGTATCATGATTTCTTATAATTTATGGTTTCTGATCATAAACATGGAATCTATATACTCAAGAGTATGATACATGGATTATGGATGGTGGAACATGATTCAAGGATATGAAATGTTCAAGGCACTAATTGCTGGTTCTGGAGGAGCACCTTTTTCAGATTAAAAGACAAAAATATTGTACATAAAACATAAAGTACAAATGATTTTCCTTTGCTATAAAAGGAGAACGTTTTAAAAAGATTTCAGAACCCTGGAAATAAGTAATAACTAAGTAATAACTTACCACTTTCATAGGAAACAATGTTTCCCTTGGGGAATTTTTGCGCCACTGACACTGTCCTCACTCACAAGTCTGGCAATAAATCTTTAATATCTCATCATTTATAACAAATTGAGTTCTCAATGGGATTGAGGCAGAGATTTTGGTACTGACTCATTCAGGCGGCCATATGGTCAATTTGACAGCAGTGAAGGCAATCCATACTTCTGCTAAGTAAACAGCATTCATCTTTTTCAGGTCTTTCCATCTGCTTTTGCAAACCACTTTGTGTGCTCCTATAAAGGCACTACTAACTGGCCTCTGCAACTTCCAACTGACTGAAACTAAAATTAGATATCAAATTAATCTTCACGCATATAAGAACATAACAAGCATTTAATAATTGAAACCATTCTTGAATGATTCTGCAAAAAAAAATCAGATGTCAATGAGACAAAATGATTAATAGATATAAACATTTAACATATCTGTTCTGCTCTTGAAATTGTCCCTCTACTATATTTAGTCCAATTTTAATTTTAATGAATTTCTATTTTTATTAAACATGGTTTTTTTTTATATATATATATTTTCCATTTCAATGTAAAACAAAAAGCTGTGTGTATAAGGGATTGAACTAATGAACCTTTTATTATGGAATCGAAAAAACAATAATCATGAAAATAAATCACTTGAGCACTTTATTTAATAGTACGTTAAAGTTCTTCAAATAAGTATCATATAATTGCAAAGTGACATGTACCTTATTTCTTGACGTTCCTTCCGTTAACAAATTAACATGAAGCTGCTTCAAACTTCAATGTAAGGTATGTGGGCTATGTTAAGAAACAAGTATTAATTCCAATGTAAGGTATGTGGGCTATTTTGGGCCACTCTTGACCTCCATCTTTCTTGCATCGTTCTTCTAGCAATGGACATCTAGAAATTTCGAGTTGCAAAAGTGAGTCAAACATCTCCTTTTCCGGAAGGAATTTGAGCTTGGGACAACTATGGATGCCCAATGATTCAAGAGACTTGAGATTTTGAAAGCCCTTGGAGGATAGAGTTTCTAGGTTTGGAAAACCGCAGATGGTGAGGGAGGTGAGAGTGCGGGGCAGAAGCATTTCCTCACATGGGAATGACACCACATCTAGAGAAGCACCGTTGATGGACAAATGTTTAAGGGAGGTTAGTTTGTGCAAACCCCACTCGATCACTGATTTGCAAATATTGGGTTGCCAGATTTGAAGTGCAGTGAGATTGGGAGGGAACCCCTCTTGTGGAAATGATATCACACTTGGACACTCAAATATGAACAATTCTCGCATAGAGACGATGTTGTGGATGCAGTTGGGTAAGGCCTGGAGTTTTTCACACCCAGAAAGATGAAGCTTTCTGAGTTTGGTGGTTAATAACACACTTCCTGGGAATGAAATCAAACTCGAACAACGCCCAATAAGAATCTCCCCAAGATGGTTGAGCTTGTTTAATCCACGAGGCAAAGAATTCAAATGATCGCAACCGTCGATAGTTATCAATTCAAGGGAAGAGTTCTGTTCAATATCTTGAGCTATGGACTCTAGTGCTGGGCAATAATTAATCCGGAGGGATTTAAGCCCCATGGGTAACTTGCCATTGGCTGACAAGGATGTCAACTTTTCACAAGAATAAATGTCAACATGTTGAAGACTAACAGGTAACTCGCCCCTTGAGGATAAAGATATCAGAGACTTGCAACCTCCAATTACCAAGTGCTCTAGAAGACGCGTGCAGTAGATGTTGTTGTTTACTCCATCCAGCAAGTACAGCAAATTCTCACACAGCATAATGGTTAAACGTCTTACATTTGGTGGCAAGTTTCCATTTGAAATTGAAATCAATCTTGGGCATCCTTCAATTCGTAGCTTCGTAAGGGATCTGCAGCTATGTATGCTTTCTGATAGCCTTTCTAGCCTTTCACAATATTGTATGGTCAAATGTTCAATATGACGAGGGATTCCTAATTGCATATGCTCTTCCTTCTCGTCCTCTGCACCTATGGAAACAAGTCTTGAACAATTGTGAATCTCCAAAAAGCGAAGAGGCCTCAAATGTGTTGAGAGTCTTTCCTGGTTCAGCCATGAAGAAATTAGCTCCTCATATCCACTTATAAAAAGATGTTCTACTTTTATCAACCCTAACATCATCCCCTCCATTGGAGAAGTGAATTTTGAAATGTTTGAAAGAGAGACTGTTTCCATGAATGAGCCAGAATTTGTACAATTAGTAGACACCACCTCTTGGCAACCATCAATTTTTAAGTCAGACAACTTCGGAAGGCTTGAGAGTGAAACTGCCAACTGCTCACATTGTTGAATCACAAGTTTCTCCAATGAAGGAAGACAACTAGGTAGACTTCTCAGTTGTTGACACAATTTAATCTCTAGCTTAGTCAAGGAAGGAAGACGATTAGGTAAACTTCCTAACAACTTGGGGCAATTTGAAATGATGAGCTCATGGAGGTGTTGGAAACTCCTTACATTTTCATCAACTTCACAGGGATCCCATTCCTCCCATTCTGGCATGCCATCAAAACATAATCTCTCTAGTGACGGAAATGCATTAATCGACAGATCCTTTCCAAAAAAATTAGCACCCACATTTTTTACCTTACTCATCCTCCGGATAGAAAGCGATTTTAGCGACAGTAATCTTCCAACAGCTGGTAATAATGTGCAATTTGGACAGTAATCCAGATCCAGAATCGATAGGTTTTCAAATGAAGGATCTCCAATCCAATTTGGGAATGTTTCACCTCCATAACATTCGATGGTGAGCCTTTCAAGCATTTTAGCAGGTTGGAGTGAATCCAACACGTCCTTGTGAATTTCTTCTCCTGCAAAATTATAACTCCACTTCAAACCTAAATCACGAAGGTTCGACTTACGACATAACCCAGCCACCCATGCATCTTGAGTTTTGACAACATTCTGCAATTCTGAAATAACAAGTCCACCCTTAAGATTAGACAAATTCTCCATCTCCCTTATCTTACGGCCATTGTCTTGACTCACAACAAAATTTGTCAATGTTTGAAGATTGGTTAGTTCACCGATTCCCATTGGCATCATTTTTATCGAACGTGCACCTGTAATGTCAAGATGCCTTAGGTTAATTAAAAATCTCATTTCAGAAGGAAACTCTTGAAGACGAAACACCCCCGCAACAGCAAGGTCTCTAAATTGTAAAGCTTGCATATTGAATCCGGCAGAGTTTCGATTAGAGTGAGAGAAAAATTTAGATAACGCAGATGCACCAAATCTCCAATAATATTGGGAGACTCCGTTAGGTAGCACCCTCGTAAAGATAACACCCTCAAGTATTTAAATTCTGGCAACAACTCACTGACAACTTGATTAGAGAAATTCCACCAACCTCCAGGCATCTTCAACGGTAGGAAGGTTCTTAAACCCTTCTTTCCGTTAAAGACTTTTAAATTTTTAATTCCGTCTTTCCTGCCATCAATGTAAGATGAATGCCGAGCATGACTGGAAACGTTCAATGCCTTGTCACCCTCCACTCTGAAGCATATATCTTTGGCAACTGATTGAGCCAAATCATTAATCAGATCATACATTATAAATCGAGACTCATCCTTGTTGGATACTTCAAAAAATTTAAAATTTTTTTGAAAATTATTAAAAGTACAAAAATAATATTTCTAATATTTTAAAAATATTTTTGATATTATTATCATAAATATTATTTATCTGTTCGATTATAATGCTCGTTAGAGTGAAATTTTTGATGTTTGAAAATTAAAAAATATATATTATTAATAAGATTTAAGCTTACAATTTAAAATTTTAATCACTTTCTTTAATAAATTTCTCTTCTCAAATTTTTGGAAAAAAATTATATCAAAACACGTTATAAAATTTAATAAAATGATAAAAACTAAAATAAAATATTCAAAAACAAAAAATTGGCAACTATACAAAACCACCCTATATCAAAATTCCAACTTTTTTTTTCCTTAAAGTAAATGTACTTGTGTTGATTTGACATAAGGGTAAATCCATTTTTACTAGCAATTGGCTGACAAAAAAAAAGTAGACCATATATCAGAAAAAAAAAATTTATCAAGCAAACTTTAAAAATCTTTAAAAGGGTGAAAATCTTTGATCTACCAATAATAGCAAACAAATTGGGACTCTGAAATCTGAAAAGAAAAACCACTTTTTATAACACTCTGTTCTCAAATGTTGTAAGTACCCATTTAATCTGAGATTTTAAATTTCAAAAGTTTTTGTTTAACTTTTAATTGGACTATAAACTGATCAATTTAAGTCCGAATTATTATTTGTCTCTAATTAGTAACTTTGGGTTTTAGTCGATTAATAGGGCTAACCAATAGTCCATTCTCCCTTCTTATAATAAACCATTTTATTTTATTTCCCCTCTTATATCTTTTATCCAAATTTTTATATATTTTATTATTTTTAAACAATTGAAACAAAAAAATAAATAAATACAAAAAATTGAAAAATAAAAAAATAATTATGAAAATCTGGATAAACAAAAGTAGATAAATCATAAAATTTTTAAAGAAATATCCTAAAAAACAAGAATCAAATCATTGATTGGGCATCTCTTTCTTTTTAGATGCAACACCTTTTTTTTGCCTCATTTCTTTCAAGTTTTTCATCTTAATTGCATTTTTTGTTATCTCTTTGGAAATTATTTTATCAGTAGAATTAGTTTATATTATCTTTAATAGCCTTAAAATAATATCTATAATAAACATTTTTCATTATTTTTTTATTATTTTATTATTTAAATATTAAAAATTTTTAATTTTTCATTTTAATAGCCTTAAAATTTGATTCTTGTTTGTCCCTCTTTGAGAAAGTCAATTCTAAACCTCCTCCAAAATTTTTCTTAAAATCTAGAGGAAATCTCATCATCTCTCTCATTTCGAACCTCCAAAACACCTTCTTTATCCATCCATAACCACCGAAGTAGCCTAAAACCCTGGTCAAAGCTTCCAACTTATTACAAACCTCTAACTTTTGTGAAAACCTTGAAAAATCTAATCTGTCATAGTCTGTCAATAAGCATACCCTACTGTCACTCACCACATCACCTTGCACCTAAATCCACATCACTAGGCATATCATCCAACCACATCATCTCAGCTATATCACCTTTCCAAATCCAACCAAAACTCTATCTTGGAAATTTAGTTATAATTAGGACTTATTTTCTTGTTAAAGACAGTGAAAAATTTTGCAATGTAAACTCATGTCTAGCATGTGATGTAAAATCTTGTCACATAGATTAGAAATAAAACGATATGTTCTAAATATGCCCTTGAGGCATCTTATTGAACTATCATCTAAGTATGTCATTTATAATAGATCACATTACATGTTTCTTTGGTTAGTCTTTATTGTCTTTGCAATAGAACGGAATGAACTACTTGATTTTAATACAATTGTTTGACAACACATTGTTTGCATCATTTAATGATTGATAAATAACTCAAGGTTGTCATCCTACAAGTATTTTTCTAGATGCATACGTGACAACACGAAACAATAAATAGTTTATACAAATTGCTTGTCATCAAGAATAAAAAGGAAAGGCATGCTCTTTAATCCATAAGCAAGTCGAGATGTTGGTTTGAAATGGATAAGTAAAGGCTAGGCTTATCTCTAACAAGGTTTAGAGCATTGATTCCTCTAATATCCTATTTAATATTTTTGAATTAAATTTTTTGATTAAAATGACTGTTACCTTGAAATCAGTATTGATTCCTAAAATATAAATAAATTGATTGACAATTCATAATCAAATCTTAGTTCTCAACATTGAAAAGCGTACTAGAGGTGAAACCCGCATCGCTCACATCTTTGTTTAAAAGAGCATTTAAAAAAATGAAAAAATAAATAAAGTTTTAAAGTTCTTCAGACAAACGTAATAATTGTCTATGTCTTCACACAATTTCTGTTTATAAAAAATGTGCAACAATAAACAATTGTAGACACACCATTTAATCCAATGATGAAATTTTAAGAAATTCAAAAGTGTTCAATTTTTATAAAAAATTTCTAAATGAAAACTTCTCTAAATTTCATCAAAATGTTAGAGAATTTAGAATATTATTTCAATATTACAATTTTTCATTTATTTCTATAAATAAAAATGAAAAAAATTAAATTGATAGAATAAAAAAGGGAGAGAAGAGCTAAAAATGTAATAGATAATTGTAAATGTATTTTATCACATAATGCTTAATAAATTTTGGAATAAGTGGGGAATTTGACTGATTATGAAATTTTAAGAAAATTAGAGCATGAAATTTTTAAAAAAATTTTTATGTGAGTAAACAATTTAAAATGATTAGAATATCAAAGATTTTCACTTTATTTCCAAAATAACAAAATTAAAGGAAAAATGACGAAACCTCTTATAAGAAATGAACATATTTTCTTGAGATCTATTGAAGTGAAAAAACTATTTAGAGGTTCGATCAAAGTGTTGAAGAAAACATAAGAAAAATTTTATATTTAAATAATAAATAAAGTAATGAGAAATATTAAGAATAGATACCAATTTAATTAAGACTATTAAAGACAATATAAGATTAATTGATATCATCCTTTGAATGGTCACTGTGAGAATGTTAATAACATCCCTATAAACTTAATTTTATCATGTAAACCAAAACTTATTCTTTTAAGATCATTTAGTCAAACTTAAAATCATTTTAAAAAAATAAATTTATTTAAGTAATCAATCACACCTAATCAAAAAATTCTTGATAATTACTTTATTAATATTTAGTGATCAAAGTCACAGATTCATATGTTATAATAGATATAATCATCATTGGTTTAATAATTATAATATTGCTTACTAATAGAAAAGAGAATTTCTCAATATAGATGGGGAAAAGTGATTATTCTGATCTTTAATGATTTTGAAGCAAGAAGACTTGGATCTCATGAATCACATTGGGGTCGATAGTTATTGTTTCTTCATTTGATGGGTAAAAATTATATCCAGTGAATTTTATTTCTTTAAAATAAATGTGTTTAATATGATTCTCATGCTGATTTTTTACTCTCAAAATTAATTTATCCAAAGTGAAGAGATTTGGAAGTGTTAATATGATTAGCATCAATTTTTATAATAAGCTCATAAATACTCTTCTCCTTAAAGGTCACTCTCTAGTAGTCTAGTTTTCCAAACTTAACAGGATATAAGGGACAAAACTAATCATCAATTCCATGACTCAAATACTAATGTCAACAAAATGATTTTAATTTCTTCTGTCCCATAAATCCAACCCTTCGGTCATCGGCTCATTGTGAATTTTATTTAAAAACATATAGCAAACTAAAATAAAATTCTTCAATTCAAATTGAGAAGAACCAAAAAGAAAGAGAGAAGAATAACCTGAAGAAGAGGAAAAATAGCTTTTCGATCAAAAGAAATTTTGCCGTTAACTCCTAAATTTCTTGCTACACGAGTTAAGTCCGAAAACTTAGAAGAATGTATTCCAATAGCTCCTCTTCTGGTAGCAATGATACCTGATGTTTACTAAAAATTTAAACGTAATAGTCAGATATAAGTAATTCAAAATTTCAAAGCATAAAGTAAAAATATGTGTTCAGCAAGCATTACAAAATAAAACAGTAAGAAAACTTGATGAAGAGGAAAACAGGCTTCTCGCATAAAGAAATTATGTTCGTTAACTCCTAAATCTCCTGCTATAATGAACCCTAAAACTCTTTCAAGTTAAAGTTCGAAAACTCAAAAGATTGTGTTGCCAACAGCTCTTCTTCGTTGCAATAATACCTGATATAAATTAGAAATTTAAACGTAATGGTCAAAGACAAGTATATAAAAGACGAAGCAAAATAAAAGTTTAGTAGGCTTACACAATAAAGCAGTAACAAGAACCTGATGATGAGGAAAAGGAACTTTTCACATAAAGGAAATTCTGCCGTTAACTCCTAAATCTCCTGCCATAATGGACCCTAAAACTTTTCCAAGTTAAATACTGAAACTCAGAAGATCGTATTGCCAACAGCTCTTCTTCTGGTTGTAATAAAACCTAATATAAACTAGAAATTGAAACATAATAGTTAGACATTGTCTTCAGCTGTTTGGCTTAGTGGTCATGACAGCTTTACAAAAGACATCATGGTTGAGGTTCGAACCTCAGCCTTCTCCTCTTCCCTTAATGTAAGGCTTTGTTCCTTTGAATGATAAAAAAAAAAAAAGGCATAGGTATTCAAAGTATGAAGCAAAATATATATTCAACAAGTATTGCAAAATAAAACAATAACTAAATCTATTTATGTTAATAGTATGGAAGTATCATGCAAATGGACAACATAGCCAAAAATGGATGAAATAAATATTCAAAAATAAATTTATAAGTATTAAAAAGCAAATAAATTTTATTGTTATAAGGAAACCAAGTTTTATTGTTACTAATTCATTTGCTCTCGTGCTTCATTGCAAGATTTATTAATTTCTAAATTTTAATAAGTAAATAGGCACAAGGATTAATATACTAAAATAAAGTATAATCAATTCCTCTTTTTGCATATTCTCTTTTGT